AAAGTTTCTGCTTAGTATGGGAACCGGCACCAACCAAAGTAAAACCTTCCCTAGCAATAGTCTCAGAATTCTTAACCACAAAACTAGCATCAGCTAAGACCACTTCCTCAGACTTAGGATTCTTAGAATTAGCCTGAGACACTCGTGAAGGAAGCTGGGGTACCACCACATCCTTAGAACCTGCTGATATAACCCAATGATCAACTTTTACATCCACTTCAATATCCCCAGAATCACAAGGCAAATTCTGGTTTTCAACATGAGGAGCACTTCTACCCCTCCCTGAGGACCGACTCCTGGAACGAGTCCTTTTCTTCACCTGAGGAGTGGAAGTACCATGACCTTGCAAAGACGGAAGAAGAGGAAGAGCTTTAACCGCCGCAATCATTGCCTTTGAGATTTTTGGCACTTTAGGAGGAGCCAAAGACAACTTAGTATCCGCAACAGCAGTACCCGTAGCAATGAAAGGCTTGGAGCCTCCTGTACCAAATTTTTTCTTCATCAGCGGCTTGGGACATCTATTTAAGAGATGACCAAACCTCCCACAATTGCAGCATTTAGGAGGGAGTCTTCGATAAGATACTTCCACTCGAACTGAATTACCCAAAGAATCACGAACTATGATAGTTGTAGGGGGAGAGGAATCCAAACTGATTTCAACCTTGACCTTAGTATTACCAAAGTGGAAAGGATCCAGCCTTGACTTTTCCGTGTGCAACGGCTCTCCAATCGCACTGGCAGTAACACTAATACCATCGAGAGAGTACATCTGAGGAGGAACATTCTTCAAAATTGCCCATGTAGGAGCCGTGGATAACTCGGACAAATCAGCTAGACCATCAGAAGACCACGGGAATACAGAGAAGGCAACATTTCCTGCTTGCCAATAACCAACCTGCAGCACCCATTCCCGAGTGGAAACACACGGAACCAAAATGAGGCAGGAGGTTTCTGATAAATTACGCACGGTGATGTTACCATGTTTACCCCAAGCTGGGTTTAGGTCAGAGAAAATCTTTCCCGTAGGAGGAAGAAGACCGTGAAACTGAGCTATAGTGTAACCCTTCCACATAGTCGCAGTTTGGAGGAGAACAGACTTGGGAGCCTGAACAATCGGAGTTCCATCCTCTTCAAAGGTCAGAGTCGACATCTTTTTGAGGTTTCTGAGGGAGGATTTGAACCTTTTAGCATATGTAGGTCCAACAACTGAGGGGTTTTGCTGAGGATTTAATGAAATAGCGCAGATCTGAGGAATTATAGCATCTGAGGAGATATTCTTATCAACGGGGCCTTGAGGCTGAAGAGGCAAGTTCAAATCAACACAACCAGCGGCATTCTCGGACAAAATTAGAGGAGTTGCGGTGGCTGAGGAGGCGGCGGCTGAAATTAGGGTTTGAGGAAGAGGCAAAACAGAGGGAACTGTTGAGATACCAACCATTGCAGAAGCTTCCATCGCTAGAGAGAAGAAAGAAAAAAGGGGGGGGGAGAAAGAAGAAATACTCGGTCACCGGCGTGAGGCCGATTACCGGCGGAAACCACGAAGAAAACTCGCAGTCACCTTTTTCTCGCCTATGGCACGATTACCAATACACGGCCTTTTTCTGCCTTTTTCTCGACTACCGCATGTTGCATGCTGTGTGAAGCCTATTATTCAATTCCCTCCATATTTGGTACACTATTGCTTGCTGCTTGCGTTACTAGCTTCCGTAAAATGATGACCCCGCGAAGAGTGAGGCTGAGCCGTGTGTGTACAGATGGCCAGATTTCCTTTTCATGGAAATGTAACCAATGAATCAAACACATTAAAAGAAATAATAACACAATTCATTCACGAGGTCGATTGGAACACTAAAACACTATAGCAAACTGATACAGGAAAATGAGAGTGTGAAATGGTAGTAGTGGCACGTGTGCAATTGATGAGCTGGCAGTAGACACGTGTGAAGTTTGTTACGCAACAATAAAAGAGCAATGTTGCTCCTTCTTTCTTATCATCGAATAATTTGTAATCTCTGGATTTCTCTAGAACTTTCTATGGCTAGGTTTCTCTCATTTTGAGAGCTAGCTGATCAGTTGGTGTTTCATGAACGTCGAATCGATCGTTTGTATTCTGGATTTAAGTAATCGGAGATTTGAAATTGTGTTTATCAGAATCTATTGTGTTTATCAGAATCGTGAGTTTTACTGTATCAAAGGTATCAGAGCTGTGTCGTTTCTCGGAGGATGGGGAAGATTGAGTTTCCAAGGTTTGATGGTACAAATCTGAAGGGGTGGTTGTTTAAGGTAGAGGAATTCTTTTGTGTAGACTCTACACCTGAGCATTTGAAAGGGAAAATGGCCGCGATACACTTCGATGGTCAAGCTTCCACATGGATTCAGGATCTCATTCTATCTGGTGTTGGTTTGGACGCGTTGTATGATTGGAAGGGTTATGTTAAACTGTTGAGGGAACGATTTGATGATGATTGTGATGACGATCAACCTCCTAATGGTGAATTTGGTGAATCAGTTGAGCATCGTATGGTGAATTTGGTGCCAAAAGCTCAAGAGGAGAACCCAAAGTTAGAGAATCACGAAGGCTGGGAACAGATAGTGATTTTGGAGGTTGAAGGTGATGATGAGAGGGGCCAGGAAGTGCAAAATATGGAGAAAATTTGTTCTGCACACCAGGTGTTCGATAAAATGTCTCTTAGAGTACAAAGTAAGAAAAGACAGATTAAGTGTCACAAGTCTTGGAGGTTCAAATTCAAACAAAGGAAACAACATAGAGGCAAGCCACAAATTGCACATAAACTGACTAACAGAGGTATTCTCATGATTGATAGTGAAGATCATCTCTCTAATTCTATGGTGAAAGAAATTGGAATTGAGATATTGAGTGATAGGTGGCTTTCGAATTCAATTGGTTGTGAATTAGAGACTGGTGAAACAGTTAATGATGGATATCGAGTCCCTAGTGATTCAGACTTGGTAGTGAATGATATTGAGAAGGATAAAGAAAGATTGAAATGGAAGAAAAGGAGAAAATCCTTGAAGTCTTGTAGATTTAAGTTTAAGAGCAGGGGCTTGAGGGGATATAACCTGAGCAGAGTGATGTTGCTGCTCAAAAACAGCTTGGTAATCACAGGGTCTTGGTGACGGTTTATGATGGTAAAAGGATATGAGCAATGTCACATGTTAGAACATGCAAATATTGAGGCTGAGAGTTTTCTACTTCTAAATTTTGCTGCAGAACAACCTGTCTTAGGGATGCAGAACAATTCTGAACCAGTTCTCCCAGTTGCAGAGCTTGAGAGAAAGAAGAAGAAGAAGCTATGTTATAAGACTTGGATGTTCAAGTACAAAGCACCACTAAAGGGAGTACAATTTCTGCATTATTGTGATAAGGAGGTTCCTAAAGAGACAAACTGGGCTGTACAAAGGATTTGGGATAAGGATTCTCATGAGGTTCATAGCCCTGATGCAAATAAGCAGACTGAGTACACAAGAGAAGGGAGAAGAAGGCTAGTGAACATATATGATTGGTGCATCTTGAGTCAGCTGTGGTTGGACCACCGAAACCAAACATGTTCTGTCCCTATTGAAGATCTTTTTAAGGAGACTGATGCATATTTTCTTCGACAAGAGGAGTTTGAGCAGCTGTTGAAAACTACGTTGATTATTCAACAAGTGATGAGAGACAAAAAGATAAGCCTTTCCAAACGGTGGTGGTTTAAGTACAGATTTGATGAAGAGGATCAAAGGAATCATCAGTCAAGAAGTGATGAAAGTCGGAGCAGATCAAGTTGTTGCATTATGAAACTTGGAAGTGCAGCTATTACTTCCAAGTACGTGTTGGAGAAGATTTATGATGAGAACTTGGAAATTGTGGATTGGAGCAAGAGACCTGAACGTTCTGAGTTTATTTGTGAAGTGGATGACTTCGGGGATCAAGAGTCTTCTCAGTTTCGCAAATTTATTGTGGAGTTTGCCGATCTATCAACAGTTGCTAAAACTCAAGACGTAGGATTTGTCCATGTTCTCCATAAAGATGCAGTGCTAGACAGTATATTGGGCTGCACCATATTGAGTGATGGCCAATTTCTTGTGGAGAAATCATCCGTTAATGCAGCAAATTGGAGTACTCAGCTGGTCTTTGGGAGTGCAAGTTACCATGTGTGGCATCGTTGGAAAGCTCGATATTCACAGAATTTTTGACAACCGAGTTTGGGATCCTGGAGGTTTTTTAGTTGAAGATGCAACAGAGACTACTTAAGAGTTTTTGTATGATTTGTTAGCAGAAGGTCAAGCTGCATTGGAGGAGGTATCATCTTTTTCAAAACCTTGAGGTCAAGGTTTCTTCAAAGGAGGGAGATTTGATACAGGAAAATGAGAGTGTGAAATGGTAGTAGTGGCACATGTGCAATTGATGAGCTGGCAGTAGACACGTGTGAAGTTTGTTACGCAACAATAAAAGAGCAATGTTGCTCCTTCTTTCTTATCATCGAATAATTTGTAATCTCTGGATTTCTCTAGAACTTTCTATGGCTAGGTTTCTCTCATTTTGAGAGCTAGCTGATCATTTGGTGTTTCATGAACGTCGAATCGATCGTTTGTATTCTGGATTTAAGTAATCGGAGATTTGAAATTGTGTTTAGCAGAATCTATTGTGTTTATCAGAATCGTGAGTTTTACTGTATCACAAACGTATAATTCATCTAACGATTGAGTAGTTAAAGCAAAAAGGAGATGGTATAGTTTTCTAATTCTCAATCTATTAAAGTGATTATCGATATGACGACCAATTCAGACGCTAACCAAAATTAGACTTTTTCTATAAAAAAAAATAAATAAATAAAAAATAAAAAACAAAGTTAAACGAAAAAAAAAAAAGAATTAAAGACTTATAGAATTGTGCCTATTTTTATTACAAAAGGAAAAAAAAAACTTTATTAGTTGTCTATATATAAGAAGAACGGTGAAAGTTGGAAACCCTAATTTTTATCTGAAAAATAAAAACAATGACGCTCATGTCTGATCTTCCTTGGGATTTGGTAAAGGAGATACTTTCTAGGACTTCTATAACTTCTCTCAGAGCGATTGGATCCACTTGCAAACGATGGAACACTCTATCCAAAGATGAGAGCTTCACAAAGAAGCACCTTGGTAAAGCAACCAAAGAGTTTCTGATGAACATGACTTGTGAAAATGATTATGAATCTGATCTGGTTTCACCTACGAGATTCAATCTCCAAAACATCAAAGATTTGCCATCATCTCTAAAGAAGATAGGTAATAATAATATGCTTTGCCCAGTCCAGATACTTAGTATCTATAGTTGTGACGGCTTATTGTTATTAGTCACTGCTGATAACTTGGGGCTGGACCAGCTGGTGGTATGGAACCCGTATTTGGGTCAAACCAGATGGATCGAAACCAAAATCCTTCAGTATGGACGGTATGCTATAGGACGGTATGCTATAGGATATGATAACAAGAAGAACCACAAAGTCTTGAAGGTGTTCTTTTGGTCTGATATAAAGCCCCAAATCTACGATCTTAACTCTAATTCGTGGAGGGTTCTTGGTATCACTTGTAAGTGTTACTCTTCGTTAGAAAAAGGCAGAGGCGCATCCCTGAAGGGAAATACTTACTTTGTTGCAGAGAATGAGAAAAAAATATTCTGTTTTGATTTTACAACGGAAAGATTTGGACCTTGTTTGCATCTGCCCTTTGATTTTGTTGGTACGGATGTGACTTTATCTTGTGTTAGAGAAGAGCAACTTGCGGTATTTGCTCATAGCTGCGTGACAGGTACATATAAGATGGAGATATGGATTACAACTAAGATTGATCCCAATGCAGTGTCGTGGAGCAAATTCTTTAAAGTTGAAGTTCAAATTGATGGTTATTATAATCTTTTTCTATACCAGTTTGAAGTTCAAAGTTTTTTCATTGACAAGGAGAAGAAAATAGCAGTGGTTAGTGGTATAGACGACTGTGACATTTTGGGCTACGACAAATCTATCGTGGTGGGAAAGGATGGGTACTTCGAAAAAACGAATCTCGGATATGTGTTCTCTTATGTCCCAAGTTCGGTGCAGATCCAGTAATTAAGGTCCACTACTGTAATTTCTTAGAGTGCCTTGTTTTGTTTCTTGCATCATCTCCTTTTTTATTCATTTGTTATTGTTTTTAACAAGCCTGTTCAATTGTTTCCAGTTAGTTAAAAAGACACAAACAAGTTTTGTTGATTTGAAACTACGTACGCTTGATCATTGTCGAATGACTCTAACTCAGTATAAGATAAATATAAACGTTGATTGATATCGGTCAAGTTTCATATGTCCTTTTTTCGGTGAATTATGTAGCTCATGTGGTTGCCTCCATATTATGTACATTATTGCTTGATACTAGCTTCTGTAAAATGGGAGGGAATTTGATCTGGAGCTGAAATAAGTCCATGCAATTATTAGAGCATCCAAGGTGATGATCCGCGAAGAGTGAGGCTTTGATTTTTAAGAAAAATGACGATCATCTCTGATTTTCCGTGGAATTTAGTAGAAGAGATACTCTCTAGGACTTCGAGAACTTCTCTAAGAGCTGTTGGATGTACTTGCAAACAATGGAACACACTATCTAAAGATGAGAGTTTTACAAAGAAGCATTGTGGTAAATCAACCAAAGAGTTTCTAGTAACCATGACTTGTGAATATTATTTTTAATTGATATTTTACAAACGAGATTCAATCTCCATAACATCGAAGACTTTTCATCTGTAGAGGAGATAGGTGACATGGTCTGTCAAGTTAAAATATCTAAAGTAGTCTATCAGTGTGACGGCTTATTGTTGTTAGCTAGTCACCAAGGATTTTTCAAGGCTAGTGGTATGGAACCCGTATTTGGTGCAAACCAAATGGATCAAACCCAAAAGTAACTATCATGAATCAGATTGGTATGCTATAGGATACGACAACAAGAACAACCACAAAATCTTAAGGTTTTTCTATGATTATGACGATAATGTATGACATTAAATCTACGATTTTAAGTCTAATTTGTGGAGGGTTCTTGATATCATTCCTAACGGTTATATATGGGTTAAAAGAGGTGTGTCGTTGAAGGGAAATACTTACTTTGTTGCAGAGAAAGGGAAATCTTTTGTAATCTGTTTTGACTTTACCAAAGAGAGATTCGGACCGAGTCTACATTTGCCGTTTGATTTTGAGGGTAATGTGGTTCCATCTTGTTTTAGAGAAGAGCAGCTTGCGGTGTTTTTTGGTAGGTGTCGGGCTGTGCCTAGATATGAGATGGAGAATTGGATTACAACTAAGATTGAGCCCAATGCCGTGTCGTGGAGCAAATTCTTTATAGTTGATATTCAGTTTGGGCGTAATTCTTACTTTCTCTCTCAGTTTGAAGTTCACAGTTTCTTCATTTTGACAAGGAAAAGAAAGTAGCAGTTGTTTGTGGTAGAGACTGTGACAGTTTTGGCTACAAGACATCTGTCATGGTTGGAGAGGATGGGTTCTTCAAAGAAATCGATCTTAGAGATGTGTTCTCTTATGTTCCAAGTTCGGTGTAGGTCCAGTAGTTATGGTCAAGTACCTACAGGAGGCAAAAGTATAGGAATTAATTAGTCATATCTTACAGTACCTTGTTTGTTTCTTGCATCATCTCTTTTTTAATTTATTAATATCATTGTTTTGAGCAAGACTGGTATATTAATGTTTCTGTTTAGTTAACAAGGCACAAACATGTTTTGCTATTAAGGTTGAGAAATCGAGCAAAACAACGTCAAAGTACTGTGTACGTATTCGAGTAGCTGAAGAAGCAATTGTAGCAAAACCTGTCTTGGCAACAAGTTTTGTTCCTGATTTAATCATTTTGCTATTTATACTTGAGTTTAAAAATCAGATTCTCACTGAGTACAAAACAACACTGGTTTTGATTGTATCGAGCATTTCTGATGAATGTATTAAAAACACTTTTACTGATTGGATCAGTTTCAACACACAAAATTAGACTTTGAGATATATTACAAGATATCAAAAGGTAACATTGCAATGCAGTAACTAATGTAGACCAAACAACAAACCAGATTCATGTCAAAAATGCTAAGTAGATACGATTATAATGATCTGAAACAATAGAAGGAACAAGTTACTAATAATAGAGAGGAACCCTAATTTTCTTAATCAAACTCTTCCAAGAAGTTACTAGACAAAAAATCTCCAGAATTGCCTGAAATTAGATCGCTGTGCGTATTGATCAACCAAGTTATATAGTCTCAACAGACATAAGGTACTTAGCAGAGACAGAGAGCAAGGGAAGAGCTACTCTGTTCCATGGCAAAGCAAAGGATTTCACAGCACCTAAACGACCAAAGACTAATGTTGTCGCCCTCTTTCAATCCATTAGCCTCAACGACATCATTCCACCCACAAATCAAATTGTAATTCCAGCTTCCTTTACCTGATTCCTTCTTCATCTCCCATCTCTTCAACATCACACCCCACTTTTCACACCGTTGATCAACGAGAATCGCTCCCACTCCAATCTTCTTATTGTTGTTGATGTCTTCGTTTATGATTCTGGACTCTACTGGTGTCAAAAAATCGTTGCGGAGTAAGTTGTTGAAAGGCATTGAGAGACGGTTCTGTGTTGGGTTTACATCAGTCACGAACAGTGTCTTCTCAAAGATCAGTTTAGCGTCTTTAGCTTCTTTCATGTCTCTCATCACCTTGACAAGCCACTCAGGTGTCTCTGGCGCCGTCCCTGAAGAACAAGCAACCTTTGCTTTCTTGACTCCACCAGAACGTTTCCTCTGTTCCACAGCACGTCTCTTGCGGCTTGTGTTCTCCGTTAGGCACAAAGACATAGAACATGGGAAATTACGGTTTAGTGGGTCTTTCGTCTCCGTCTTCTCGGACTCAGCCGTCTTGTAATCAAAGAGTACGAGTGAAGAACAAGATTCAGAACTAGGGTTTTGTAGGGTTTTCATCTCGGAATCAGCGATGAAACATGAAGAAGATAGCAACTGAAGATGGTTTTGTTCTGTCTCAGAATCAGTAGGGAACTGGTTAAGATCGATAAGCGATGAAGAAGTAGAAGTAGAAACCCCATTAAGCTTTTGTTGTCTCTTCACCAAAGACGATCTTGTTTTTCTCGGGAAGAGACAAAAGATTCTCTGCTGTGCCTCTTCTTCTTCTTCGGAGACAATCTTACGGCGTTGTTCTTCTTCATATAACATAACCGCCGCATCAACCAGTACACAGAAATTCAACCACAGGTCCTTCCCTGAAGCCGTGAGATGATCAGAATTGTGATACAGACTAGTCATTGTGAATTTGTGATAGAACCGAAAACTCAAGTTTTTCTGAGGAAAGAACGTGAGGCACAAGAAAATTAGAGAGACAGAGAGAAACTGAGAGAAGGTGAGAATGAGAGAGCCTCTGTTGCCTTAAATAATACTTACGCTAAGGATAATTAGTCTTAAAGTGAAAATTAGTGCTTACATTAAATTTAGGGTTTCCTTTTTTCTTTGAGTTTGGTAGTTTAATTACTGTGATTAGTAACTATTATAGCCGTTGTTTTATTTCCTTTTCGCTAAGGATAATTACGATTTAGTCCCTATCAGTCTAGGTATTTCCTTTTTTCCACGAGTAAAAAAACTGATATTTGCCTTTTTTCTTCAGGTTTGTTTTGTTGAAATAATATTCTATGAGATTTTCATTTGTTATCTTTAAATATTATTAAGTTTCTTGTTGTATGCCGTGCATTGTATTATCCAAACTAACTTAAGGATTTATCTCAAGGAGCAGCAATCTACCGTAGTGTAGATTTATTGTTTTCTCGTGCTCTGTTTTTAGCCTATTTGGTTGTTTTGAAGCTATGTTTCTTGTGTTGTTTGTTTGGTTTTTTCTTTTCTTTAATTAGTAAAGATGAAAAAGAAATATTTTTAAAAAATAAAAAAGCAAAAAACCGATTCTTCACTCTACACTATGATGAGTTATCGTATACTCTCTCCGTTCTTTTATAAGTGATGTTTTAGGAGAATGCACGTAGATTAAGAAATCATTTAATTTTTGTTTATTTCTAAACTAAAACATCATTTATTATCTAATCAACAACAAAAAAACAATCTACATAATATAAATTGTCAAAACCAATAAAAAAATAATTAATTTTGTATTAAAAATTGAAAACATCATCTATATATGAACAAAAACAAAAGCTTAAAACATCACTTATTATACGGAGGGAGTATATCTCAAAAATTAATCTTCCATATCATTTAAGAAACTACTATTAATTTGTATAATAAAAACAATCTTAATAAATGCCTTCTTCAATCACTTAAACGGTCGTATTTTTTGGTTGTAACTCTTCAAAATATAATTTATATAATTTTTAATTAACAAAATATTAAATAAATTTTTGAAACCGTTTAGTTGCAACATTTGATTTACTTGACACTCTTGTATCATCTCTTTTAATTCATTAATTATTATTTTTGAACAAGCTAGCCTTGTCAATTGTTTCTATTTAGTTAACAAGATACAAATATGATTTACATTCATTTACGTATCTTCTTCTTTTTTCTCATGTTGTTGTCTGGTTTTGAATCTTCTTTCTTTGGTACGATATTTTTTCTATTTTATAATATGAATGTAAATATCATTACGAATGAAAGCTTTCCGTTTTTTTTTTAATCTAATGTAAAATTATATTCAAAGAAAAAATAAACGTTTATACATATGAATGCAAAACTTTTTTAAAAAATTCAAGTAGATTTTAGCTATTGTGTTGTCTTGAGGCAAACCACGTTTGGATCCCACTTGTACTTTTACGAAAAGCTTAACTATCTTTACTTGTATCCTTGCCAAATAACAAATAAGGAGTCACTTAGGTGTTGTTCTACTTGAATTTACTCCCTCTGAATGCGAAATTCCGTTAGGTTACTGAATTTCTTCCCAGTACTTCTCGGTGTCATGAGTGTGGCAGATTTGCCTGTCAATTCTCTTAAAGACGAATGCCTCATGTGTTGCGTGTGAAGCGTATTATTCCATTCCCAATTCAGACGCTAACCAAAGGCAATTTCAAAGCGAAATAAACCAAAAACTTTATATATGCGCTTGAGTAAGTCCTAAACACGAAAATCTCAAGACATATTTTTGAGGATAACTAAATACTCTATTTGATGAGTGGTAGATTTCCCATAAGAAAGTTGAATCTGTTGTTGAGTTTTAGTGTCTATTCCGTGTTTCGTGGAATGTCACTTTTACCACAAACCATCAATTTATTTTTAACACACAAAGAGAAGATAACAAATCCTAAATAAAGCTAACTTCCTAATTTTGATTTTACTATTTTCATATTTGAAATGCTTCTAATCCTTAAAATCCAAGACAAACGTTTTGGTCATAAGAATTTTGTTTCGTTTTCCCAAATAAAAGAGGCTTTTTTGTTTTTTTTTTTGTTTTTTTGTTTTCATGCTTTTAACAAAAATCTTAGAGTTGTATCATCTTTAGATCAACTGGATTTTAAAGGAATAAAGGGGTTTAACTTGCGGGGCAAGAAAACAAGCGAACGTTGTCGTACCATGGTTGCAGCGTTGGAACGAAGACTAAGCGCTTCCAAATCATTCAACTTTAAAAGAATGTTTGATTCATCTTCGACGAAACAACAACAATCTCAAACCATTGTCGTGGAGAACGGAGATTCTCATATTGTGGAATCCAACACGCCTGAAAGCCAAAACTCCGACAGCTTCGTAGAAAGCCCCGTAGAGAGCAGCCTTCCAATAATTTCCCCTCTTACTCGGCCAGGAAAAAGATCCGACAGACAACAAGCAGGTGTGAAACTTCTTTCCTTGTCCAATAACTTATTTCCATTATAAATGAAAACCCTAATAATCACATAAAGTGTTACAGATATGGAGATGATGAAAGACAGGTTCGCGAAATTACTTCTTGGAGAAGATATGTCCGGTGGCGGGAAAGGTGTATCTTCTGCTCTGGCCCTTTCCAATGCTATCACAAATCTTGCTGGTAATCTTCTTTTTAAACTTTTCAAGTTTCTTCCTTCACAAGAAATTATGAGGGTTTTTGTTTCTAAATACTGAGTTGGTGGTACGACAGCGTCTATATTCGGGGAACAAACAAAGCTACAGCCGATGCCGCAAGATAGACAAGTGAGGTGGAAGAAAGAGATCGATTGGTTATTGTCTGTGACCGATCACATTGTCGAGTTTGTTCCTTCTCAACAAACGAGCAAAGAAGGAGTTTGCACTGAGGTTCGAGTTTCGCAAAGAAAAAAAATATCATTTTAGACCTCTTATGGATAAGTTATAAAGTTTAGTGAGTATTTTTTTTGTAGATTATGGTGACAAGACAAAGAGGTGATCTTCTTATGAACATTCCAGCTCTTCGAAAACTCGACGCCATGCTCATCGTAAGTGTCTCCATTGGATCTGTATTGAATCCGGATTTTTATCTTGATGGATTAATGGTGATGATAACATATGTTCAGGATACATTGGACAATTTCAGAGGACACAACGAGTTTTGGTATGTCTCTAGAGATTCAGAAGAAGGGCAGCAGGCGAGGAATGATCGGACAAACGACAAATGGTGGCTACCTCCGGTTAAAATTCCTCCCGGCGGTTTATCTGAACCAGCTCGGAGAATGCTTTACTTCCAAAAAGATTCAGTCACACAGGTTCAAAAAGCTGCAATGGCTATCAATGCTCAAGTCCTTTCAGAAATGGCAATACCTGAGAGCTACATCGACTCTCTCCCTAAGGTAAATCAATCAATCATGCACATTTTATTTTATTTCTAACTTTGTTATTATCACAAATGACTCTTAAGCTTTGATTTTTGTTGACAGAACGGAAGAGCCAGCCTCGGGGATTCGATCTACAAGAGCATAACAGAGGAGTGGTTTGATCCGGAGCAGTTCTTATCGATGTTGGACTTGTCGACAGAACACAAAGTGTTGGATTTGAAGAATAGGATTGAGGCATCTGTAGTGATTTGGAAGAGGAAGCTTCACACAAAGGACACCAAATCTTCTTGGGGCTCAGCAGTTAGCTTGGAGAAGAGAGAATTGTTCGAAGAGAGAGCAGAAACAATCTTAGTCTTGCTTAAACAAAAATTTCCCGGTCTTCCTCAATCTTCCCTTGACATATCCAAGATTCAGTTTAACAAGGTAAATCAATCACAATGATAAGATTTCAGTCCAATTTTTAACTATGAGATTAAGCTCTCATATATTGTAGATGCCTTGAATAGCAAGAAACAACTCATGATTGTTTCGGTTATAAGAAAACTGAACTTTTAATCGGTTTAATGGATACAGGACGTTGGGCAAGCGGTGTTGGAGAGTTACTCTAGGATACTTGAGAGCTTGGCTTATACAGTGATGTCAAGAATAGAAGATGTTCTTTACACAGATTCATTGGCACTAAAGCAAACTTTATTGGCTGAAGAAACATCAGATGGTGGGAGAACAACCGAGACGGATTCCGAGTCAGCAGGATCTTCTAACTCGGGAGAAGAAACCGAGAAGCTTGACCCACACTACTCCAAGACCTTGTTGGATTTTATGGGTTGGAATGATAATAGTTCGAAAGGCGGCGATAAACCTACTAAATCTCCAAACATTACGCCGAAAAAGCTCTCTTACTTGGAGAAGTTAGAGAATTTGAACGGTTTTAGAAGTCCGAAAGATAGACATTGACCATGAATATCCTTGTGAGATACTTTTATAGAGAGAACATAAGAGTGTAGATAGGGAAAAGGAATGAAAGCAAAGTAGCAAATGAATTAATCACACCCCCTTCCTTCCGTCATTCTTCCTCGGATAGAGAAGTCTTTAGCTTAAGGGGTTTTAACTCTTAACAAGAAGATAACTATCTCAAATGTACATGTTGTTGTTCCATAATCTTTAAATGTTCTCAGCTTTGTTTTTTTCTTGACTTCCAAAATAGTGGATACTAGGATATGACCCGCGGTATACCGCGGGAAAATATATATATTTTTTTTATAAACTGATGAACCTATTGTATTATTTGTATGTTTATTGGTACCGTAACGTAAGTTTGATTTTGTACGATTTTTTATAAGATATAACTTTGCGATATTCTAAGTGTAATAGTATGTGGTTTTTATATCATGAAGCTACATTTGTTTTAGTTTATCTATGTATAGTTATATCTTACAAAATCAGACTGATTCGATATGTCTAATAGTGGTGGTGTTAAAAAAAAACTAAATGAGGGTCCAACCCATATTAAAGTGACCAGTTAATGATATTTTAAATTTTATTAATATTCATTCAAATATGTCCTCGTTTTCTTCAAAAAACCGTCTCGCCATATAACCCCGTCATGCAATATAACCCGTTCCGTATTATTTAAAATCT